GACTCTGCTGCGTGCTCGTGTGGTGAAGGTTGGGCCGAGTCCTGTCAAAACTGAATGAAGTAGAGGCCCTGTTCAATTGATTAATAAAGCTCCCAAAAAGTTAAAGGAGGAAGGCATAAAGTTTCATACGTGCATATTTTTTTACATAAATGAAGGCTATAATGATTCGTTCTTCATGCATTATGAAAACTGAGTCACGTTATGCTGTAACTTGTGGTTTCTCACTTTACATGTTGTCACTTAGCAATTTGATCAGCAGCTTCAGAACTGTACTGAAGTTTCTGCATGGCACTTTTCTCTGTTTTTGTACAGGCATTTACTGTTGCTCTTAATTTGTGTTAGAAACAAGCCCTATGTAACTGAGATACCTTTGGTACTTTTTGTTTGTAGGGATTAGCAAATACAGCTAAAAAGAACTTTGGTGGTGGAAACACTGCGTGGGAAGAGAAGACGCTGTCAAAGTATGAGTCTAGGTAAGCTGTTTCAGTAGTTCTCGTTTGTCTGCGTTTCATATCCACTCCTCGTGACTTCACCGTGCCAGTATTCCAGTCTGGAACTTAAATATTGAATGTTGCAGCTCAAGTTGCATGTGTCCAAGCCTTAAATTCTTATTGATTAAAATGTAACATTGTGTTCTAAAGTTAAGATAACAGTAAAGACTGAAACCTCCTATTAATGCCTTTATTTGTCTTGTTTCTGAAAGCAACAAAAGTTGGTACTGTCATTGATCATAGTAGGTTTTTTTTCTATTTACCCGTTAAAGTCTGAAAATAATGATCTTAAATAATGGTCAACAGTTAATTGATAGTCGTAAAAGGTGTGGAGCACTGCAGTACTTGGTTTAGAATCAAATCAGTATCTCCCCTATAGAGTAGTCACTGTTTCAGTACCAAACAGAAAACTAGAACAGGGGCAGATTACTGTGTTCTTTTGTATATATGTGTCATTACTGAGCAAAGTAATCTGCTTTCTTTTTTTCTAAATTTATAATTAACTTTTTAGTCTTATTTGAAGGATTGAGATGTAAGGGTGGGATTTCTGAACCTCAGTTACTGTGAGCTTTGTGGGCTATTATCAAATATTAACAATTCATGAAATTTATTGTTGAACTTAGGAGAATAATACTGCACTCAAAATTAGCTGGGAAAAAAAATTGCTACAATCTGCAGACATAACAAATGCAAGCAAGCCAAAGTGGATCTTGTGGTCATCCTTCTAATTTTTTTTTGCTTGAAGCAATGTTCATTAGTTCTTTATTCTGGTATTTGCTTTGTTTTGGAACTAATTCAAAACACACTCTAAGCAGATAAAGTATTGAAGCCTAGCTCCTCTGTAGTGTTTTAAGTGCTGTCAGCTGTTTAACTTAAACTTACGATTTTCCTTCTCTGCTTGTAGTGAAATTCGTCTTGTGGAGATCATAGAGAATCTGTGTGACAGTAGTAACTTTGAATGTAACAACATGGTAGAAGAGCATGAAGAACTTATAGAGAAGTGGTGGTTTAAACTGTAAGTCTCAAATTTTTTTTGTGGAAGTCTTTGTGGGGCTAAGTTATCTCAGAGGATGATATACTACTCTTAAATCTTGTAATTCTTCAATATCTGTCAAGAGTTGCCATTGGGTACAGGTGGGTTCGGGCTGACCTAACAGCGTGTGCTGCTGTACCATGTTCCTTTTGCTTTCAATTCCAGAAGTGTTGCACCAAAACATCCAGCCTGGCTTCTTGTATGCAGTCTGCTCAGGCACCAGTGGGCTGTTGAGGCAAACTCACACTGGAAAACTTGGAGACTTATTACTTTTTTTGTTTTCCATTATCATGAAACTGCAAGAGACTCTTTGAATCTGTGGAGTTTTTGTTTGTTTGCTTTTTTTTTCCCCCTGAAACATTATTTTGTTCTCCTAGCAATCAAAGGAATAGTTGATACTAATAAATCCAGACGTTGGATCTCTTGAGAATGTTATAGCAGCTCACATTTCTGTCTGCCATCTAAGCTAGTCTGTGATTTCCATTGTAACTATACAACTAGTTCAAGAATAGCATTGTAGCATTTAAATGTCTTAATATTATTTTATTTTTAATTCCAAATCATGTTTCTACTAAGCATTTTATAACTGCTTTAGACTATCAGCGCTCCCAGTCAGCTAGAATTCAGTAAGGTGAACTGCCATTATAACATTTAGTATACGATGTATATCCTTTCATATGGATAAGATTTTTTCACTCTTAATGACTGCTTTATCGCTTTTCCTTTTACCTGCCTATACGGGATTGTGTATATGTTAACACGCCAATTGAACGGAATAGCATACATAGCGTAAAATGGACTATTTCAGCTGGAAAGGACCTTCCAACGATTGTCTAGTCCAACAGCCTGACAAATTCAGGGCTGGCCAGAAGTTAAAGTATGTTAAAGGCACTGTCCAAGTGCCTCTTAGACACTCTAAGAGGCTTGAGGCATTGGCCACCTCTCTAGGAAGCCTGTTGCAGTATTTGACCACCCTGTTGGTAAAGAAATACTTCCTAATGTCCAGCTTGAACCTCCCTTGGTGCAGCTTTGAACCATTCCCACACATCCTATCACTGGATACCTGGGAGAAGTGCTCAGCACCTCCCTCTCCACATCTTCTCCTCAGGAAACTGCAGAGAGCAATGAGGCCACCCCTCAGCCTCCTTCTCTCCAAACTAGACAAGCCCAAAGTCTTTAGTTTCTCCTTATTGGACATGCCTCCCAGAAAGGTGAGTCTTCAGTTTGCAGAACAGAAAGATACAAGTCTTAAACTAGAGAATTTGACAAATCCAGTTGACATATCCAAATGTCATTCGGTTTCCAAAGATGGTTTCTTTGTCCGTGAAAACCTTAGATCTTTTATCACAAGTTGTTACATTACATGTGATACTCAGTAAATTTGCTTTTCAGGGCCTGAGCATCGGACTCAATATGGTCAGAGCTAATAGTTTAGGAGAAGCTGTACATTCTTTGGGAGTTGCTGAAGATATCTGACAGACTAGAGAATATCTAAAACTTTGCTTTACTAAACTTTTTGACTCTTCAGCATCAGCATGAGACTGAGATCTCTGAATCGTAATTCAGAACGTGGTAGACCTCATGCTTGCTTGCAAAGCGCTGTGTAGCGTTTTCATTGTTAATTGGAGATGTATGTTAGTGGTAGAATAGGACTTAACGAGCTTCTTAATATTAAAAAAAAATCCTTCTAAACTAATGTTTGATTCATGTTAAAAAAGAAGAGAGATTTTAACAGGCATCCTATTGACAGATTGGCGATAATTTGAGCAAATGTTAATATCTCTCCTGGGTTATCTTCTGCATTGTTGAGGTAAAGGTATAACAGTTATCTTTAAGAGGAACACATAAATTAGACTATTTAAACCATATGTAAGTCTTCTCTAAAAATAAGGTGCTAAAAAAAAAAGGTATGTGTATGTATCAAGATGAATTGATTTTACTAGTTGCTCTTATTTCACGTTTTTCATAAATATGATGGGTTAAATTTGAGTGGTGCTGTTATTATTGTGGTTTAAAAGATAAATCATTTGAAGTAGGACTTGCTTTAGAAATTGGTTCCTGAAATAAGATGGTCTTCAGAACAGAAAAAAATAGGTTTCTCATCTGTCGGGTACAATAAATTACTGTGTTGTGCAGGTTTGCTTGTGTGAGTTGGTTTTAAAAAATCTTCATTTGTTTTATTGATGAGTGAATGTCTCTCATATACAGAAAGAAGAAGTATCCCGATTTGTTTAAGTGGTTTTGCATAGAAACTATAGAAGTTTGCTGCCCTGCTGGAACATACGGACCAGATTGTCTTGGTAAGTTTTCTTTAGAAAAATACAGTAGCAGGTGTGTTCTTCTTATGTGTTTGTTTCATTCTTCCATAACATAGACAAATACATCAAGTACAATATTTTCTGTGAGGCACCAGCTGCTGTGTAGTGTGTACCTGCCTGATGGTTAGGTAACTGCCTTGTGAGCATCCTGCCTGAAGAAAAGTCTTCTGGGTCTGAAGTCCTGTACAGAGCCCTCAAGGGTGTGGAATCTGTTTGACCTGATGCTCACGTCCACACCTGACCCATGCTTAAAGTCTCTCTGTGACATCAAGTCCGTTGTTTAGGTGGCCTTTCAGAAGCTGTGAATAAATTGATCGAAACACCATTGAGGATTAAATGAAGACATTTACAGCTGAGTATTAGTTAAAAAAGCAATGGGAGAAACTGGATGAAAGGAAGGTCGTTGATGCAGAAGTGCTAAAGGAGGTATTTTGGCACCTAAAGTTTGTGTAATTTATAAATCTCTAAAATTTCACACCTTGTTAGAGATCAGCTTTGGCTTCTTGTGGTGTTAAAATTAAGAGCCAATTCTCAGTATTGATCTAAAAGATTGCTACTAGATTATTCCAACTGCAGTATGAGCATTCTCAAAAATCTGGAATAAATAAAGATACTAACTTCAGCCAGGAAGCTGGGAAAATAGATAAAATTTTAAGCCATGCTCTCTACCCAAACTTTTCTGGAGATTGTATTGGTTTCTACTTATATTTGAATGTATTACTGAGCACTCCTTCTTCTAAGCCTTTTGATTGCTCTCAAGGGAAAAAGGGTTGTAGAAATTGTATCTTGGTTTAGTGTGACTGTTTTTTAGGGTTGGTTTGTTTGTTTGTTTTGTTTTGTTTTTACATTTTACTGTCTATGAAGGTTGAAGAACTTCAGGTGCTTATGCCTGAGAATAGGAAGTTAATTCCTTTAACATCTGATTTTTAAGTATTTTTGATCCTTTTTAGCTTGTCGTGGAGGATCAGAAAGACCTTGCCATGGAAATGGTCACTGTGATGGTGATGGTACCCGGGGTGGAGATGGCTCCTGTAGCTGTAACAAGGAATATACAGGAGATTTTTGTTTGGACTGTTCTAATGGTTACTTCAGTACCTTGAGAAATGAGACACATTCTGTTTGTACAGGTAATGAAGTCTTTGACACTTACTCAGATATTTGTCCTTCAGTTTTTGTAAACAAAACTAGAAACAATTTGAACTGAGAGATACAAAACCAAAAAACAGTTATTGTTTGTCATGCTTTAAATTAAGAATTCATCTATGTCATGAGGGAGCCAGGAGGGAAGGTCAACCTTTGCCCACCTCCAGCACTCCCCAAGTACTGTATGAAAATCTTGAGCTGAAATTGCTGCATAGTGGACTACTTTGAAAGCCACGTTTTCCTCATGTCTCACAGAGTAAATGGGCGTGGAAACAGCTGATCTGTACTGCAGACTGCATAGATTTTAGTTAAATATGTCTGATCTTAATTTTGAAATAAAATCAGGTTGTAGGAATAAACTTTCTCAGTTGGTCAGATTTTCATCTGTTTTTACACATTGAATGAGATTCTGAAGCAATTAAATCCTGACTGTGGGGTCTGGTAAGGTTGTCTTTCAGCACCATCTATGTTGTTTTTCTTAATTTGTCTCTGTAGTAATTCTTCTGTATGATTTGTTTTCTATTACAATATATCACATGCATATGTTGTGTACTTCGCATAATATATGCATGTAATATATATATAAAATACGAATATGCAACTGGATTTCTAGTATGTTTCCTTGTGAAATTCTTCAGACTAGTATTATTCACACATTACTCTTGTAGCTGGTTGCAAATGAAGTAGTCTGAGGATTTGTTAGGTGGGAATACTGAGTTTAGTGTTAAACCTGCTGTCCCAGCCCCCGGAGTCTGAGCAAAGTTTACCTTCCTGATCTCTTTCCAAATATTTTTGAAATTAGACCTGCAATGTCTAGTTGCCAGAATTTCATGGCACTTTAAAGTGATGCAGACTATGATTTCCAGATTTAGCTTCCTGGATTTATGGGGAGGTTGGGTTTTGGTTTTGTTTGGTTTTGTTTGTTTGTTTGTTTGGGTTTTTTTTGTGTGTGTTTGTTGGGTGGGTTTTTTTGTTTTGTGTTTTGGGGTTTTTTTGGTAAGATAGAGCTGCATTTTTGTAAATCATATCTCCATAAAGTCGAGATTTAATGTTGTGAATGGGAGGGTCAAGCTACTAAAATAAGGTAACTTCCAGAGAATCCTAAATAAGCTTTTCTTTCAGAATTTTTATGCCCAAACTTGTCTTGGAATCTCTCAACAAAGCTCAGATTTGTAGTTTTCTCTTACAGCCTGTCATGCTGCCTGTAAAACTTGTACTGGTTCGAGTAACAAGGACTGCCAAGACTGTAAAGAAGGCTGGATTAAAAATGAAGAAGCAGCTTGTGTGGGTGAGTAGTGCTTGTTAGTTTTCAAACAGGTTTTGTAGTGGTGTTGGCTGGTGAGGTCAGATGACATTGCATCAAGTTTTGTCGTATTTTCTGGAAGAGTTCTGTCCCTTTAGATTTCAATGGTTTGTAGTCTCTCTCTTCCTAACTTGTTTCACATTGCAGGAAGGCAGTGTTTACCCCCCTCCTGATCGCCTGGTGATTATAGTTGTCTTTATCAAACTGTTCACTGTGTATTTTTTTAGTTTAGTGTTAGTGAAACACAGAGAGTAGCAAGCTGGCTGTTCCTTTTAAGACATGTTTTTTGAATGCTAAACAATGCCCTGCTCTTGATTTTTATCAGCTACTGGAAGATTGCAGTAATTGTGCAGCTGTCTTCACATTTCTCTATGTTTGTAAATGCTGAACCCTAATAGAGTTGAAACATTTCACTAAAATCCAGGCATACTAACTTTTCCTTTTATTGGAGAGAAACACCAGGAGACCTCAAGGTCAGTGCTTCCGTTAATCGCTCAGGTATAAACTGAGTAATTGGTAGCAATGATGTCTGCAGCAACAGGATGAGATGGACAGCAAGAGGACTGAAATAACCTTTCTCTGTCCAAAATTTTTAGTTTCCTTGAAGTCATGAGCCTAGATGTTTTAAGTTCCCAGGTTTGCATCTTGAGTGGTGCTAACTGTAACTTGCCTTTCTCCAGTTTGCTTTTTGTAGAAAACTTGAGTGCTGTATGTGTGCATTGGTGTAATTTTTTGTAGTACTTTTAAAAGCTCCGTAACTTGGCAGTACAGGAGTAGAGAAATCAACAGTGTTCCAGAAGAGTAGTCTTGTCTGCTTAATTGTTATGCTGTTTGCATAAAAAGCATAAATGCATGTCAACTACTGACTTGAAAATGGCAAGAGTGGCAGGTATTCAGGCAGTTTTACTTAATTTGAGCTCTTGATTTTTTTGATATGTCTGTTGTCATCACAAAACATCTTTGAAGGATCAGTTTTGATTTGTTAGTCTAAGTTTAAGCTGAAGGAAAGTATATGTTACTATGTTACTATTATGTCTAACATATTGCATATCTGATCCTGAGCTTTTTAACACTCTCAATGCAGTCAGTTTAAATTTATGGCTGCTGTGGGCCACTTCTCACAAGATCCCAAAACGTGACATTGAAGTATTATTAATCTGACTATTGAATCATGACTGCTATTTTAGGTAACTTGACGCTTTTTATCTTTCAGATATGGATGAGTGTGCTGCTTCTCCTTGCAAAGATCACCAGTATTGTCTGAACACAGATGGATCTTTCTCCTGCAAAGGTTTCTTTTTAATCTGCTGTTGTTGTCTGCTGTTGTCACCTGGAATCCCAATCTGATGCTAGAAAGGGTGTGGTACCAGGCATTTATTTAGTACAGTGTGGACTGGTTCTGACCAGTCATGGAGAGGATGAAGCTTGAGATCTGTCATATGAGCAAAGTAAGAGATTTCTACTCCTCTCTCATGAGAGCCCACCTGCAGTACCATGTTCAGCACTGGGGTCCCCAGTATGAGAAAGACATGAACCTGCTTGAGTGGGTCCATATAAGAGCCATAAAAATTATCTGGGGGTTTGGAGCACCTCCCCTGTGAGGACAGGGTGAGTACATTGGGCTTGTTCAGCCTGGAGAAGAGAAGGCTCCAGGGAGACCTCATAGCGGCCTTCCACTGTCTGAAGGGGGCTACAGGAAAGAAGGGGAGGGTCTGTTTATAAGGGCATGTGGTAACAGAGCCATGGTAATGGCTTTAAACCGAAAGAGGGTAGATTTAGCTTAAATATTGGGAAGAAATTCTTTATTGTGAGGGTGGTGAGACACTGGAACAGGTTGGCCAGAGAAGCTGTGGAAGCATCCTCCCTGTGAGTGTTCAAGGCCAGGTTGGGCAGGGCTTGGAGCAACCTGGTCTAGTGGGAGGTGTCCCTGCTCGTGGCAGAGGAGTTGGAACTAGATGATCTTTAAGATCCTTTCCAACCCACATCCTTCTATGATTTCCTATGTAAGCTGACTGACTTTAAGGATGGTACTTTAAATATCAGAGATATGATTTTTTTTATGTTTAAAATATTTTATCTTTAGCATGTGATGCCAGCTGCATAGGCTGCACAGGGGAAGGTTCTGACAAGTGTAAGACCTGCGCATCTGGATACGTGAAGGAAGGTGAAAAGTGTACAGGTTGGTGGATTTAGCAGATTTTTAATTAATTTTCCCACACAGGGACCTTTAAAACATAACCCCCCATGGGACTGTCTGAATAAATTTGAAGCAGTCTGAATCATGAGGAACTATAAGAGATTATTTTAACAGAAGTCAAATCTGTTGCAGCAACATTCTGTTCCTCCGTGTGTTTTTTGTTATTTTAATAGAAATTCATTTATATGATGAGCACAAATAAGATTTATAACAAAATAACAGAGGTGGACT